ATGTCCTAGCCTAGTAGGATATCCCACATAATAATCATCCCATATGCCCAGCCTATACCCTATCTATGCCCTGGGCAATCCCACAGAATGCCCTGGGACATAATAGGTACCATGGTCAGTCAGACACTTAAGAAGCTTTTAGCTATGACATACTATAGAAGATCTTGTTGCTAAAAGCTAGGGATAAAGGGTACCCTGAAGTGGCATCTGTGAAACTAAAGCAAGTTTTACCATCAAATATTGTAGAATTTGTTTAAGAGAACCTCTGTACCATGTTTTCGAGTTATTTAGTATAAGAATTGTGAGTCATACAACCAAAACTGCCAAAAAAATACATGTTTGAAACTGCAACTATTAAGGAACCAGAACACTTGAGCACTATCTGTTATCTAATCTAAGTGCTTCAGCCACTCATCTGTTGACAGCGCTTTGCACAAGTTGTGTCAGTTTTCAATACAACTTTTTTTGAATGTCCGCCTGTAGTCACATTGTAATTAAGTAAGTAGCTGTTAGAACATTTGTAGATTAAACATAACCCTAATCCTTGTGTCATTCCTACAAACTCAGCCCTAACCTTAGGTCACACATACAAAATTTGTAGTCAAAAACTGTTCCCACAGTTTGGGGAAAATCGTGTTACGGTCTAAGTGCCCTCTAGGGCTCATCCTGTATAAGAACGATTTCTTCGTACCTCAGGAATCGTAATATAATGTAAGCAGTAATTGTATGATGACTAAAGCCTAAGTACAGTCTAAATACAGTTATGATTCCTGAGGTACGAAGAGAATTGTTCTTATAAGCAGTGGGCCTTTGGAGGCTGATCTGAACCGTGACGCACTTTTCCTCAAACCGTGAGAAAATCCTAGAGGTAGAACTTAGCTACAAACATTCTATTGGCTCTTCTTGCCCAACTACAAGTTGACTATAGGTAGACATTCAAAACAGTTGTATTGAAAACCAGCGCGACTTGTATAAATAACCATCAACAGATGCATGGCTGTAGCGCTTAGATTAGATAACAGATAACAGCTATATGTCAGGAAACATTGAAATTACCTTCGATGGAGTGTTGGACTGAGTTCAATGCATTATCACCATTACTATTGAATTGAAACCAAAAAATAGACCTAGTTAGCACTTTAGAACATTCAATTTCATTAATATTTGAGTGATAAACCACTTTTGCAATACTGAGGTGAACGACAAGAAGGCCTGCTTAGTCAGTTTCCTAATTTGGGAACTGACTTACCTAAGGTACCCATGGTTATCTGGGCCATGTCTCTAATTTTTCCGCTTTTTTCTGCCTTTTTTAAAGATTTCTGACCTCAAAATACACTTGCCCAAATTGGGAAAGTCAGGAGCCTTTACAGTTACGATTCCTAAGAAATGAAGAGAATCATTCTTAGGAGTAATGGGACTTTGAAGGCTAAAAAGGTTACATAGTATAAGTGTGTAATGTCCATATAATATTATGAAACTGCACTTAGTATAAGCTTCTAAAAACATTACAATGCCAGATGATATATCTGATTACCTCTACTAGATGATGTAGTATCAGTTATAATAGCCGACTAGGCCATGCACTTACTTCTAGGTAACCATCTCATATAAGTTTCTTATAGTCTTAAATCTGACAGTCATACTACAACTTTGCTGATATTTTTATTTTTTTCAGACTTATTTTGAGTGTTTCTCTTAGTAGGTGCCTGTCTGAGAGTAAAAATAAATGACACTAGAAACTGTTACCAACGTGCCTATAAGAATCACTACAAAAAATGACACTAAAAACTGTTACCAACGTGTCTATAAGAATCACTACAAGAAATGACACTAGAAACTGCCACAAATGTGTCTATAATAATCACTACAAAAAATGACACTAGAAACTGTTACAAATGTGTCTATAATAATCACTACAAAAAATGACACTAGAAACTGTTACAAACATGCCTATAAGAACCACTACAAAAAATAACACCAGAAACTGTTACACATATGCCTATAACAATATATTAAAATGTATACAAGAAATTATTATTACATCCTCTACTAACTCCTAGTATGCTATTTAATAATGTGTAGTAAGTGTCCTACAATGTCCCACTATACATTGATAAGTTGTGTGGGTTGATAAGGGCCGTACTATTGAATAGTTTATAAAGTTACCTACTGACTCTCAGTATATTGTCTAGTAATGTTCAGCAAGTCAACAATAACCTATTACACTGGGTCCTAATATACTCTTTAGTATCAGTTTGTAATGAGCTTACAACAGTCTGAATATGTCAGCTGATGTCACTTTGCAAGATCACTAGTAACCTACAATAGTGTCTAGTAATGTCTAGTAAATGCCCTAGTATGCGAGTTTATAAGGGCCTTACAATAGTTAGATATGTCATCTAGTGTCAGTTTATAATATGCTTACAATAGTCTAGTATACCACCTAGTACCAGTTGGTAAGGGCCTTACAGTAGCCTACAAAGTGATATATTGACTCCTAGCATGTTGTCTCGTAATGTTTAGTAAGCCTCCTACAATGCCTTATTATACTATTTATTGAATTCTAGTACACCCTCTAGTATCAGTTTGTAAGGGCCTCACCATATTCAGATATGTTATCTAGTTTGTATTTGTAAATGCCTTACAATAGTCTGAAATGCCACCTAGTATGGGTTTGTAGAAACCTTACAATAGCTCAGACTTGCAAGACCTGTTACAATCGTTGTCATAACCTGTACTTATACCAAAAGTCCGAGTTTGTAGTGCTTAAAAGCTGCCTTGCAACAGTTACTAATGAAGCTAATAACCTTGAAGCCAAGCTCTATAGTGGTTCCAGGTACAGCTCTTTAGTCCAGAAACAGAAGTGCTGACTTTAAACAATTTGGTGCATTTAGTAATTCTTCAGCCACCAGAGTGCTGAGAACGAAAAAAGTGTCGATGCGCTCGATTTTTTGGATCACATTGACGCTTTTTTCGTTGTCCGCTCAAACCTTAACCAATTTAGGCAAGTCTGTGGCAACTGGGTTCCCACACATTCAGCCAAACTTGCAGGGCTTGTAGCTCACTCAATTCTGCTCGGATTTTGATGAACCAGGTAGGCATTCTGACGCTATTTTCAAGACGAATCCGAAGGTGTTACTCTCAAAACACCAGGATCACTTCCTTGGGTGCTACAATCCATTTTTATAGTTTTCTCTCACTTCTGCTTGTTTCTTCAAGAAAAAACCAATGTGCACTGCTTGTAATAAAAAGGCGCCCAATCTAACGTGTTTATGTGCATTATAGGGTCATTTAAAATTTTTACTGGCATTTTTACGATTTTTCCACACTTTAGGCTGAGCATTCTAATCCAAAACTAAGATATATCAGCCAGTTTTATTCAGATTTACTAGGTTTAAGAGAGGATTGTGCACTATTTTATGTATAGATTTTAATACTACATCTTATAATTACTATTTGCTTCCCTCATTTCACTCACTATGACACCACAGCCTCTTGTGGCTGCTGTACCACTTTTGTTGAGCCCTATTTATGCAAGTCACGTTAGTTTGACTCTAGTTAGACCTAACCCAGAGTGCTAAATTCAAAAACTCCTGTTGACATGACCCATTTTGGGATTATGCTGATAGATATTAAAATCAGGAATCATCCTTGCCGTGCATTAGCATCGGCCCACTCCAACCAAGTCTTAAACTATGTCTACACAAGCTTCAAAAAGAAAAGAAGGCTGTTACAAGCCTTAAACTTAATATCTATGATGTTATTTCCTTAAGTAAGGACAGATATTGAGGGGTATACCCTCAGGGTTTGGTACCCATACCCATACCCTTACCACTGGTGAAGGGTATGTACCCTTGGAGGGTAAGGGTAGGGGTACAGCTCAAGTACCCAGGGGTATACCCCTGCTCTACACTATCATTGTCCAGCGCAATAGAATCAAGTACCTGCACATCAACTGCCTCCACAGTGCACCTGTCACTGGCAGCAACAACAGTGAGGGCTTCAGCAAATTAGCCACCACTACCATTTTGTAAAAGCACAGTTGATTTCATTTTCTTCAATTTTCCATCTTCCTTGGTGGAGCTCTCCCCAGTTTTCCTCTCTATTCACAGTGCTTCTACTTACAAAAATTGTGTCACTAGAAGTACTTAGTTGCTTCAATAATTGACCAGTGTTTCTGGACACACATATGAGCTTCCTAGTGCCCCCAATAATGAGTTCTCCATAAGGCTGTTAGGCTGGTCGTGCATTGCACATGATGGGTGCAATTGATTTGGTCTGGTGATTTGGGGTTAGGGTTGGATTGGTGGTTTGGTCAGTTTGGTCCTTGGCAAAGCTAGACCAAAACTTGACCCCCCTTGGTACTAGGGCTCGCAATGTACTGTATACAGTTATAATTGTAAAAGTATGTAGGAAATACTGTACGGCTCATATGTGTGATGCTGCTTATGGGAATTCCCTTATGTGATACTGGCATGTCTGTACTGGCGCGCATATTGGGGAAAATACATGTGATGTGGGTTGGGACCAATCGGATGCTGCCGCTGTTGGCTCTGACCCTGGGCACTTCATCTCAGCTGAAGCACTGGACCAAGGTCTGGGGAGGCTCCGAAGTGTGACAGTAAACACGTATGCAGTTGTAAATGTACAGGTCACAGTATATCGTATTAGTAACATTTTCGGATCTTGTCACGTGTAAATGATACGGTCTGCATCTGATACGAACTGGGATATTTTCATAATTACACTAGAGTTGCAAGCCCTACTTGGTGTGGCGGAGTAGCCGGATGAAGTGGATATATCTTACACGATGTAGGAGCCCAGCGATCGGAGCACCCGGATTGGCCGCGGCCGGCGGCTTTTCCCGAAGAGGCGCGGCTTACGCGAGGTGACCCGCTTGCGTGATATCACCGGCCGGTGGCCGCCAGAGATGTGTCTACGTAGTCAACCAGGTCAAAACATGCTTTAAAAATCTATAGAGTTGGGTACGCAGTCCGTCATTACTCTTTCTTTTCCCTCTGCTGCTCCTGATTTACTCTCCTAGATTCCCTTCGTTCTCTTCCACGTGTGACCATAAGCTTCGGCTCAAGGTCTGCGAACAAATGTTTGCAAACGATCTCAATCAACCAGCAACCGGCAAAATCAACAATCATAGTCGTGGTCAACTTGAACTTGAACTGTACTTCCTGAGTTAACATCAGGCGGAAAGAGATGCACGGGATAGCTCACCGTAGCGTCCATTTCTACGATCTGTAACCATCGGTTCAACTCAGGCACAAAATCGGTTGCACCCGAGAAGGCAACGGCGCTGGCACCAACTAAACCCCAATACAAAGCAGAATTCTCGCGGATCCCTTCTCTGAAGGGGCGACCCTGTTTGTGCGGCTATTACAAATGTTTCCAACCAAAGAAAGTGCTAGGAACGAACCTGGAAATTTATGGCGAACGTAGAGACCTGTTGGGAAAGACTAAGCAGATATATGGCTGTGTTGAGAAGGTTCGGTTCGAATTTCGCCTCAAGATCGATCTCCCCTCTGCTGTAACAGTATGATCAACGTGATGTAGGCAACAGAGCACATAAATCGACCTACTCTTCGAAGAAACGGGACAATTCAGTGATATAGATTAAGGATGCGATGTGAAGGGCGAACTGTATGAGAACAGACAACAAGACATAGACATTAAAGATATTTCCCAGTGGACGTTCTTTCGACAATTTCTCGACAGGCTACGCCAGACACTTAGTCGAAGAGGACATACCGGCGAACAGGACAAGCGCACCTTCGCACGAGATATACACAGGAAACAGACAGACATCAACATGCCAGTGATAGTGACCTGATAGTCACCAAACTTGATACCATCGAGATACTGAACGCTTAGACTGTACGCAGTAATGAGACAATTCAATGCTAGAATTTTGTACATTTGAATTGTGGCGACCAGAGTGCATCGTCCTTGACGGATGATATGCGTGACTGAAGACTTCGTGAGCGATGAGATAACTTATGAAGATTTCACACTCACTGGCGGAGACGTTGGACAGTTTCGAAGTGAACGGAGCAGCGCAAGACGCATCACCGAGCTTGATCTTTGGGACTTCATCGTCTTCTTCCATTGCCGCAAGCTTATCCGTGATGGACGCCAAGTCAAACTGGGAAAACTATGTCAGGAAAGTCCCAACAGCTAATGTGAACATCGCACTTTTTCCATAGGATTCCGCTTCCTAGCGGTATGCAAATCACTGGCGGCTTTCTTTTGAGCTTCGACAACATCCGGATACAGGTGGGCAATAATCGGGGGCACAGGTGGAGGAGGTTGACCAAACCGAGCAGATATTTTTAATTGACTCTCATACACTTTCTTGACGCGATCCATCTTCTGGTGTTCAGCTATCTTCTGAAGATCCTCCGGAGTGCCGTCAAGTAAAGCGACACCAATGTGCGCTTGCTTCAGTGCACCTACGTCATTCGTACCATCACCAGCCATGAGAGTCACATAGCCGAGCGTCTTGAGGCTAGTCAGTATGAACTCCTTCTGCGAAGGCGACACTCTAGCGTAAACCCAAGTATTTTGTACCAAGTCGTTCCAACTGGGATGCGAGGCATACTGTCTCACCGCAGCCCCGGTGATACAAATGTCATATTGGTCGAAGAGCGTTTGGTCCAAGGGAGCCAGCGGGTCGACTTCGATGACCAGAGTCTCATCCATGTTGTGCCACACAAGATCTGAGTGTTATCGTTAAGGTGCGAAAATATTCGCGAAACCAAATGGGTCGAACTTACCTCCTTGATGGCGAGGTTTTTCTTTTAGATCGAGGATGAGAATCTGTCGATCAACTATCTCGACTTCTTGAGCCACATGAATGGCAGTTAGGGGATTGTCACCGGTTATCATAACGCACTTTAAATGGACATCAGTAATAGTTGTAACCGCGGAGTAAACGGGCTCACGCGATGGGAAGAATCTGCAAGCATTTTGAGGGTTTCTACTGCATCGGCCTTCAGAGGGCAATGGAAAATGAGAAATCCGGCGAAGATGAGGTCACTTTCAACTCGACCCCGCGGCATCTTGTTGACCTATTGATTACCAGGAATCAGAGGGACGCTCACATCGGGGGCAAATAAAACAATAAACCTTGTCTTGAGACATGTGGTCTAATTCCTTATATGCAAGCGCCAACACCCTACTTCCATGCCTTGTATACCACTTATACGTCTCGTCATAGAAGTCCGGCACGTGCAGCAACATCATCTTGATCGTTTCAGGAGCACCCTTCACAGCAACCATTATCTTGCCTGAAGAGTGGCTACACACCGTCGACATTCGCTTCAACGCCGAGGAAAATTGGAAGCGGCGGCATATAGTGAGTGAGACGCGATGAGCAGACTCGATATTCCTAGGTGATACAATGTCACCTACGAATCTAGACGTCAACACGTTTCCTGAACGTGATTAGGAGGTGTGCACCTTTACCCAGTGCCCAATCCAATGCTTCTAAGGTAGTTCTCTCCATTGGGTCACCAACGATTGTGCCATCATCAAGTCTGACTAGGGCATGCGCTGCAGCAAGAGTGAACGTCGTCTCCCTGCCAGTGTCTTTGACTTCGACTAGTTTCAGAGGATCAATAGGACTGGGGACGGCAATTAGAAGTGAATTAGTGAATACGACATATCGACCTACTCTGTACCCACTACACCTCTTACCACAAGATTCTCCGCTGTGATGGTCCCAGTCTTGTCAAAACAGCACACGTCGACACGACCGGCGTACGGTATGCGGAAGGGTTCTGTGCAGAAAATGGCTGCACCCGCGAAGTTAGGCTAGACCCATATGTGTCATAACATGTAGAATGCGCACCGTACTTAGATAGCGCAACAAGAGAAGCGTTCACGGCTAATGATAGCTCCATGGGCAGCTCCGGAGGGACCACGCTAGTAACGATGAGGATGCAATCGAGTAGCAGCTTGGATTTCTTCAGGTCACGTTCAATGCCTGAAACCCATTGCAGACATATCAGACACTCAATAACAGAAAGAAGTGCTTCAACCGTCACCTTTTACCCATACATACCAACTTGCGGCAATTGCAAAAATCAAGAGAAACCCGATGAAGAGGAACGACTCGAAATTGTTCGCTGACACACGTTCTGTCGAGAAGATCATAGTGCGAACCAACTGACCTTGCGCTGTGCCAAAACCTGTACGCAGGACAACACCTAAACTACCCCCGTCCGGTGTCTGCCCTGAGTAGACGAACTTAGACTTGTGTACGAAGAATCATCGACGACATACCTCCGTCAACTGCTTGCAAGAGCTTTGTCCCACTAAAAAGTACAGCGTTCTTATGCAAACCATCAACGTCCAGCTTCTCGGTAGCATCTAGCAGTTGAATTGATTCCTTTAGTAGGGGTGTGGATTCTCCCGACAGCATAGCCTCATTGACGATGCATGTACCCCGGACTAGTAGAATGTCCGCAGGAATGATTGTAGAATCGCGCCTAACTGTGCGAATCAAGCAAGGTCAGAAGATACGAGGACACGATATCTAGAACCCACCTATTGACACTATATCGCCCGGGAGTAGTTCGTCGGACTGAATGGTCATCCACTTCTCGTCTCGCATACACTGGATCGCGAAAGGTGCCACGGACATCGTTCTAAACTCGGTCAAAGTCCTTACGCGCTGGGATGGCTGGCGTCAAAGACGATAACAAGGGGAATGAGATGCCTGCTACGCACTTGCCACACTACTGTGCATTCAAACACAACCAGCATGAACAGAGTGAAGAGACTGTAGTACCAATATTCGTCGAGACACCAAAGCGAAACGCAAAACACCTGGAATACGAAAAATGGAGCTGTTGCGTGTTCGCTGAACAAGGCGGTGAAGGACGGGATGGGGATGTTGAATTCGTTCTTGCCATACAGAGAAACTAGACGGGGAACTTCCCCAGAAGCAATACTTTTGAGTGAACGATAACTTGCCAAAGGATGGTGACTAGACGACGGGTAGGGTAGAGGTGTAAAGGTCACTGGTGACGTAGAGCTGAGAATATACGTGTCACGCTGATAGCTGAAGGAGTAAGTGCTGTGATCAGATGAATTCCTCTTCAAAAGAGGCACGATTTCGCCGTGACCACGGTGGGGAGCAGGAATGAGGCGTATACAATCAGCTTCCTCTAGAGAACGCGCCTGCCACCAGAATTAACATAATGACAATACACGACACAACCCAACCTCACCACACGAGCAGTAATCCAAGCTTTTGCACCAGTATTCCATCTTGTGATCAAAAAACTCAGAGCATGAGAGACACCAAGAGTGACGCATGCCAAGAAGGTCCATTCTTCGCTTCGTAGCCAGTCATCATATCTGGCGTAGTATGCATAGGCGAGGAGAGGGTACAGTGAGAGAAAAGGCACCGCGTATAAGTGCAAGTACCATGGTAACGCAACGTGCAGCGTAGCAGCAGCAATCTCAGAGGAGGCAACTTCAACAGGCACCCCAAGCATATCTTTGGTAGAGTCGGTCGCTATCCAGAGGCCACTGTTGAGGAAACGGGCACTTTGTACTTGTTTGTTCCCTGCCAAATCCCTGAAACCGTCGGCTCCACCATCTTTCTTCAAATACTACAGCAAGCACAGCACAACACCGCAAAATTTTCCGCCGGAATAATGCGAGGAAAATGGTACATTTTTCAACGTTATCGCTGCACTATGCTGAACATTTGCCCGGGTACAAATGTTGCGATATTTACAGATAGTTCTAACGTAGTGCAATGTTGGCAACAGCCACACCTTCGAGCCGCCAGTTCGAGAGCATCTGAATGGCACACCACTGCTTTCAACTATTGGTGTTTATTATTGAATACTTGTTCAAATGAGAGAGAACAATTGACGACAAATCCTAAAGGCTACGAGCCTGCTCTCAATTCCACTGAGTTTCTTATGATGTAACAAAACATTCCGAATCGGGTTTGATTTCCGTGCTCGGTGGCCTGGTGCTTACGTAAACTGGAGAGCTGTACCCGCGCCCTATTTGGAAATTTTTGTTTATTTGTCTTACCCGCTGCGGATTTTCTTGTTTTGGTCCCACCCGCCGCGGATTTTTTTTGTTTTTGTCTTGCCCGCCGCTGGTTCAATTCGATTTATGTCTATATGCCACTCGACGCCCATTCCTCTCTGCACTCTCCGCTCATCACTCCGTGAAATCTTCACCGATGTCGTTTTTGCGTGCTTCTGTCGTCCTCATTTTGGTGTTGTCGTTGTCTTTCGGTGAGTTATTTTTTCATTCATTTTGTTTGGCATATTACTCAATTTTGACAGCTGTTTTTTGCGATTTTTATTATCTTATGCTTGTCACCATCGTCGGTGTGACTTTTTTAACCGTGTGTCGTTGCATAGGGTATTATTGTCGTCGTCGTTATACAAGCTCGTTGCGTTGTGTCGGCAGGGCTCAGCAGCGTACATGTGCAGTTGATTCATCCCAACTACGCGCATTCACTGCAGAAGGCGGCTGTGTGCAGTACTTGTCAGTGATGACCCCTTTGCCCTTTCTGTGTCAGACACCTTCCAGTTTGGTTTCATCAGTGTGCACCACAAATGCATACGCTGTAGCTGTACGCATGACATTCAGTTTTCTTGTGAGTACGCTGCCTTATCGCTCTATGTTTGCTGTTGCTCGTCAGCATCGAATTCGCCTTGGACGCAGCACACGTAGCTTAGATGGACTGATCGTCGTTGTCCGTGGTCATTGCTGTGATGAAATCTGTTCACAACTGGTATCTGTGTTTGTATTGGCTTCCTCGCCTTCTGATGTTGTGGAGTCGTCACCTGCATCTTTCACGACACCTGCTGCATTGTCGGATAATTCTGCAGAATCGAGCCCTTTCCCTCCACAACCACTTTCTCGCTCCGACCTCGCAGATTTCGTTCGCGCTTGGTGCGAATTTATGGGGCCGGCTGTGATCTGTGGTGAATTAGTGCTAATCAGTGATTTGTCCACCGTGCCATCACACAGTTTGAATCTATCCGTGTTGTCGTGCTTCGGCGAAGGGGTCACACGACATGAATGTCATAATTCCGAAGATCCGGTTATCGAGTTGGAAGGCCCAATACTCATGGGAATAGATTCTCCTGCGCTTTGCACTTGTGCACCATGCATGAAGACCATTGCCCGTGGTGATCTGCCTCGGCAGTCTCTCGCCAACAGCTTATGACTGGGTGATGTGCCTGATGAGCTTCAGCGGTTGAATTTCGTCGAAAAACTCGTCGTCGCCCGGTACCGGCATAACTACTTTGTCATCCAGGTAAACATGGGTCAGTGCAAACTCTCGGCTAATGCTGTCGTGTTTCCACAACCGGTGGAAAGGCTACATAATGTTTTGCCTCCTCCTCGCGAGGATCCGGATAAGTGCCTTGCAGTTTTATTCACTGGTCCATGCAAACCCTCTCCCGCGGACTACAAATGTACGCCTTTGCTTGTGCGTCACACTGTCATTTTGAATGCACTGCGTTGGTTGCGGTTGAATCATTGCAATTACGAAGATATTCAAATATCACACTCTAATCTTGCTTCTTACTCCGAAGAGGAGCCACTGGTCTACATTGTGCACCGTCCCAGTTCGGGTTCTACCCCTGCTGAGTCTGTCGCTTCAAATGACAACGAGTTGGAACGAGGCGTCGAAGATGGTGAATGCCCATTTCCCATGCATGCCATGACTGGTACAGACTTGGTCAGTATGTCCTATGAGGAGAAAATTGCCACTGCATTGAGCTATTTCGAGGGTGGAGGTAAAGTCCTTGCATATGGACATGAACGCGATCCCGCTTCTATGTACCATAATCCTCAGTTGTATCCCGGTATGTTCCCATGATTATTTCCGTACGGACTCTGTGGATTTGAGAACTTTTTGATCCAGACTCGACTGGAACGCGCGCGACACATACGACATTTGCTGATGTACGCGGATCGACGGTTTCAGACTGATGAGTTTTTCCCGTTTATTATTTTTAACCAGGAGCAGATCAGAGGCAGCATGCGCGGAGGCTATTTACTCACAGAAAGACGTCATTTTCCTGCAGTGGTGGAGAAAATCCTTAATATCGATCGGGAAGTTCTTCAGCAGTTAATCGATCGCGGTCATGCCGGTGTGTACCTGCATCCTGAGAGTGACGCAGAGAAGGCGAAAATGAAGCGCTGGTACTTTAATTTTGGCGGAGGGCATTCCAATGTTTTTTATAACATTCGCACCTGTGGATTTCAAACATCCGATTTGTTTGTATTACTGCAGTGAAGCGATCAATTTATTTAACAATTCTCCTGACATGCTGAATGCTCAAGCACGTCTGCGCGCTATTGCTAAAAATCCAGTGGTGTGTGCGTGATTCTTTGATCTGATGGTGCGCTCATTCATTAAGAATATTTTGCGTGCAAGTTCTGGGGCAGACGGACTGTTTGGTCGGACCACGGCTTATTATGAGACCATTGAGTCACAAGGACATCTTACTTTGCACCTTCATCTGTTGTTGTGGATCGCATCTTGTTTAAGTCTGCAAGAAATTAGAGATCGGCTCTTAGCTGATGATGTTTTTTGCATGCAGCTTATCCAATGGTTGGAGTCTTGTCATACAGGTGATTTCTCTATCGGTTCAATGGATGATATAGCGGATCGAATCGACTGTGGTGAAGTTGTGCATTCCGACACTTCACGTGAAGATAATGAGCCACATGTCATACCTCCTGAATACACTCTCCCTGCCTGTGATCCAACGACATGCTTGCCGATCCTTCCTCCCGTGTTTTCGAATGAGTCAGCTGCATCGGAATGGTACTCCTTTTTTTGTACAGAGACAGACAACATCGTGTACTCATCCAACCGCCACAACCCCAGTCATAACAAGGGTTGCCGCCATGGTCGCGACAGTTACTGTCATGCACGATTCCCTCGGGACACGTTCTCTGAAACAGTGGTCGATCCGGAGATGGGTGCACTGCAATTCAAAAAGACGGAACCTTGGATTAATACGTATAATCAAGTGCTCTCGTACGTGATGCATTGTAATACAGACGTAACCTGCTTATTGTCTGGCACCCAGGTTCGCACTGTCATTGCATACGTGACCGATTATGTCATGAAATATTCTTTGACAACACACACTATATTTGAGACTGTGAAATCAGTTCTTGATCGCAATCAAGGCCTTTTGGATGACGATACTCGGCAACCGACAGATGCAGCATGGTCATTAATTACGAAAATCGTGAATGCACTATGTGTGTTGCAAGAGACGGGCGGACCTTATTTGTGCGCGTCCCTACTGGGCAGTCCCGAGCAGTACACTGACAAGATGTTTAAAGTATTTCATTGGTATTCGTATGTGCAATATGTGGATAGGAGTTTGGACAGAGCAGCTCATGATGTCGTAGCAGGCTTGCCGTGTGTTGAGGATAGGGTGGTTGTTGAATTTAGTGGTGACAAGATTGTTCCACTCTCGCGGGTGAATGACTATGTGTACAGACCTACATATTTTGAACAATGGTCACTTTATGACTACCTGCGCAGAACTATAGTTAAGAAAAAGCACGGGTCGCTCCCGACACCAACTCGGACTGATGTTATAGATGGCGAACCATCTGAATGCATTGACATTACTGTCGATATTGATGGTGACGATTCTCTCTGCAGGGCTGCACCGGTCGAGCACTCGAATTATTCGTTCATCGCTGGTCATCCTCAGAGAGATACCCATGTGGTGTTTTTGTTGTGGGCAGATGACCGACTTGTACTGAATTTTGTGGGTACCGCTTTGCCCAGAAAGGATCAGGGTGATCGGGTGGTCTATGTGAAAACAATGCTCACCTTCTTTAAGCCTTGGCGCAAAGGCTCTGATCTGCTACAATCGTTTCTTTCCTGGAGCGAGGCATTCGATAATGTTCAATGGTGTTCGAAACATTCGAAAGTTATGGGCCATATGAATGTCCTATATGAATGCTTGGACGCCCGAGATGATTACTCTGCATTGCGTCGTGTGCAAGCTGGACATTCCGGTGATTTGTTAGCTGTCGGCGACGGTTGTTCTGCTGACTTAGACGGAGAAGTCGGAGTTGACAAAGTTCAATCTTTTGCAGATCAAGCAATGTTGGATCTTTTCAACGACTCTTCAGACATGGTCAGTGCTAAAAGCGCTCAGAAAAGAATGCAGATGGATGCCATGCGTACCTTAATCATGCAAGCATTCAGTAGAGATGCTACTTCCCACTCAGTTGACAGTAACCTTGCCCCAATTGAGACCCCAATGGTGCCACATAGACGTCCCGCAAAATGGCGACAAGCCATAGCTCAAGTGAAAGCATTAGTTGTGCAGGCCCACCTTCACACATCGCAAACCTCACCCAAACCCACAACTGTCGCGACTGCTGGGCTCACATCTTTTGTTTCAAATGAATCCTTAGTGAAAATCATGTCTTGTACTGACGGGTCAACTCAAAATACTATTCAACATCCTGGGCA